ATTAATCCTGCAGTATTAAAAGGAAATATACATCCAGTTCTTTTAGATTTTTGTCCTATCCCTTTGGTGACTATTTTTAAAGGGTAAATGTATGATACAGGGAATACAGTAGTAGTCATTTTTAATTCGTCAGTTTGTTTACATTTTCGGAGTGGTAATAGAATGTCAGGTAAAGACTTGTACTTAACAATTATAAAGGGCCAAGTCCTGATACATGAAAGCTTTAAATTGGCAATCATTTCCAAGTGTACAAATTAAAGCAATTATGCTTTAATGGAATAACAGTAATCATGTGGAGCAAATACTATTTATAGTCGCTTTAAATTTAAGAAGTTATTGATAACTTGCTTAACGAAATCCTACTAGTAGCTGCTTGATTTTGGCCGTGTCATTTTCCCCTTTCCCTAATATCTCGGGCTCTATCCCTGCATTCCAGCATGCTAAGATTTTGACTAGGTGGAGGAAATATCAGTTTTTTTTCTTTCCACATCACCATCTTTGCGCCCAACATCTCGTCAAATAATTTAGGGCAGATCAAGCAACAACTGCAATTTTCCTGGTTTGTACACCTCAGAGGCTCATTGCTTTGGACAGCTAGTCATAAAGGGTTTGGAATTTTTTTTATGCTGTTGATGGCAGGGTGATGGGTGATAGGGGAGGAGTGGCAAAAATTGATCAGTCCTGAAAAAAAGTTACACTGGTCATGTAACATTAACTCCATTTAACTCTCTTCACAGATGCTGCCAGACCACCTGAGTTTCTCCAGCATTTTCTGATTTTGAGATTTACAACATCTGCAGTAATTTGGTTTTATTTATTGTTAGAGTATCATTCGTTTCTTCTAAAGTACTGAGTAAAGTAAACTGCAAATGACCATCTTTGCTTTAGATTGTCACACTTGCTCAGTTTTAGGACAAATAGGCCAATTTCAAATATGTTTGGCCTTAATGAAAAAAAAAGGTTTTATTGTTAAGAATTCTGCAGTGCACACTTCAAAAAAAAAAATTTAACACTCTTGTGACTGCTAATACTGTGGCAGACTGATAAGCATATTGGATAGTCTGTGGTTCAGGAACAATTTATCACAAGGTGCTTCAAAGTAGAATTATAAAGCAAATTTAGACATAAGATCATAAGACATAGGAGCAGAAATTAAGCCATTCAGCTTATAGAGTCTGCTCTGCCATTCAACCATGGCTGGTAAGTTTCTTAACTCCATTTTCCTGCTTTCTCACCTTAACCCTTGATCCCCTTGACAATCAAGAACCTACTTTTCTCAGTCTTAATTATATTCAATAACTAGACACTAGGCGATATGAAGGCTACATTAGATTAGATGGCTAAAAGCCTAATCAAAAAGGTAGGTTTTAAAATAACATCTTAAAGGAGGAAGGCAAGGTTTTACAGATAAAATTCCAGGTAGAGGCTAGGCAACTGAAGGGATAATTGCAACTGTGGATGATTAAAAAAAGATTGGGGATGCCCAAGACACCAGAATTATGTGAGCACAAATGTCTGAGGAGATTTGTAGAACTGGAAGAGACTAGACTTAGTTAAGTATGAGGCCATGGAAGAATTTGAAATCAAGGACGAGAATTCTCTAATTGTTTAATTGGGAGCCAAAAATGTTTGGGGCACACAGGAGTGACAGGTGAACGGAACTTCGTGCAAGTCAGGACACAAACAGAGCTTTAGATGAACTCAAGTTTATGGAGGGAAGAAAGGTCAGCAAAGATTATGTTTAAATAGTCAAGTTTAGCAGTTTAAAATTACAGCAGCAAGACAAAACATTACACAAAGCAGAAATATAGATGTAAATTTACGACTTCTCTTCATGGGGGTTCACCTCTTGTTGAGGTATTATAAGCACTTATTGTTTGATACCTTGACCAGATGCAAGCCTGGACCATAACTGTTGATACAGTACTTAGAGTGTCACAAGCCTCATCATGCTTTCAGCTAACATTGAACACAAGTAGAAATCGGTATCCTGTACTACTTTTGGGGTGTAAAATAGGCACAAAGCATCTAATTGGTAGTAAACCTTTAGTGCCAATATTTTCTTGGGTGTCCTGAACAGATATCAGGCTTATTTGATGCATAAACAATGCCAATGTGGGATAATAGTCCTATCACAAAATTTATCAACTACTCTGCATTTTCAAGAGATGCTGCAGCAATGCAAAAAGCAAATATTATTGAGTTCTAATATCCTCGAATATAGGAGAGCAAGTGGGCACTCCCTAAACTCCACAGGATTTGCACTCAATCCCTCCTGTGATAATCCCCCTACCTGGCACTTACCTGCATGCTGGTATAGACAAGGTTATGGAAGTATGATCAAGATGCAGATTGCACGAGGCCAGAGGTCCAATTTCCATTGATCGTTTTGCTCAATTCTAGGTTCAAACTGCTTGCACAGCACAAAATCTGGGCTCAAAAACAAGGCAACATACTGGCAATATAGGCTAGTGATAAGAGGAAGTTCTGACTTAATTTCTCCTCCCAGTTTAGTGGCACTGACGTTAGTTCCAAAACTTGTACTTCTGCCCTGGCAGGTTAATTCTACACAGATGAGGAAACCAATCTGGTATCTTTCTTGATCCATGTGGTTCAATTACGCACTGGAAAAACCTGCTGAGTCATTGGGAAAGTTGGAAAAGTAGATTTAATCAAGTGAGTTGATAGTTTGATAATTGTTAATATTGCATTTGCTATATACATTTTAAAACAGATCATTGACTCTCAACCTCAACTTCCTGGGTCAGTCATCAAGTAACACAACATATTACAAGGAATGATTCCAAAATCTGCACATTATGCTGATTTTCAATTGTTTCATTCCTCTTCAATGCAACATGATAGATATCCTGTAAGATTGCCAAGTGAAAATAAATATCCTTTTTAGATTACAAAGGGAACAAAACCTTGAATTTTCTTTGCCTAATGGCACCTTTCTTTAGCCATTAAAGATAGCTAGATATTTCTGTACTGTCCAACAGGTTTGAATACTTGTTTTGAGAAAGATAGCCCTCAATTTTCAGGTATTCCCCGAACTCAAGATTTCTTGGATAGTTGCAATCCTTCACTGACAGTTGAATCCTTGACAATGTGCCATTGGTTAGAAAACTATTGGGTGCAGTCCACAGGAATTCTTGCTAGGATCTATTGTGGCAGCCATTCGCTGCTGATGTACATTCTAAAGCATTCATTGTCTCCAAAAGGTTTCAAACTCCGTTGGTACTTCTTAAAATAGCCAAGTGTTAGGATTGTTCAAAAAGTACATTCTCTGGAAAGGTAACTTCAAGAAGTTCTTTTTTGGAGATCCTTAGTCATGTATATAATGCGGTGTGTTCCATCTATCGAGTTAAGGCCATTCATAGTTGATTTCTAAAACATTGATCCTCCTAATTGTTATTAATATTTGATTGTGCATTGCTCATAACTGCAGAGTTGTTTTGGGAAGTGTTAATAGTCTAGAGAATATACACAAACTTCATCTGGCAGAATGGGGAGGAGGTAATGCACATTTGCACTGTCAATGGTGAATAAAATTTCCTTTCAAGCATTTAATTCTCTTTACGCTTTCAAGGGTGGTTAGCAGCTTTGGGTACTCTCCATATTCTGTCATGTTATAGAACAGAGCTTACATCCATCTTTGTTTTTCTTATAAAATCGAAGTTGACTTCTCAGGAATATTTAAAACCAGTTTGCTTAATGACGTTTTTTCCGACAAGATATAAAAGTAAGTTCCCTGGAGCACAAAGGTGCTCTTCCACTTTTATCAATGTCTTCTGGATACAGAACCTTAAGTTAGACAAGTCTTGCATCAAAGGTTGTGCTAGTCCAGAAGACTCGGTAACAACTTTGAATTGGTCACAAGTTGCTGGAAACCATTCGTCAGGTTTGTTTTCCTCAAATACTCATGAATACCTCTTGCTTAGCTCAACTGTGAAAATTTCTGACTTGGAGCAATTGAGAAAGGACACACTCATCAAGCTAGTCTTCTAGTAAACAAGCCAGCTGCATTGAAGACTTGTGCGGAGTTTGAAGCAAGCCTCATACTGCTTAAAGTCATGCAACATTGGAAGGAAGTACTACAAATACCAGGAGTACTTAAATGAAGTGACTGTTGTGGTTATTTGACATGTCTGTTAAGGCACAATTCACTATTGGCAGAAAGCCAGCTGCTGAATTTGTTTTACGGAGATATCAGCACCTGCCTTGTCCTGGTGACTTCTTGTGTTTTGTTTGTAGCTGTGAAATCCAAACAGATGGGTGGTTACTGTGAATCTGTATAGCTTGTTAATAAAGCTTCAGCTCTGCCATGCACTCCAAGTAACAGGCTGATTCAGTAATGGGAAAGAATTTAAAAAAAAATAGCTACAGGAGTCCTTTATAGACATAGGATTCAGAGAATTAAAAACTATTCTTAGAGGTGACGTTGACACTACAGTCATAAATTGAAATGACGCCATGATTGAAGGTATAACTAAAGCATATGAAAAGTTCAAGTGATAGAAATTAAATAGTGGCTACCTATGAAAGATATAATTCACAAGAAATGGTCGACGCATACTGAATTGATGTGATTCAACAATGAAGCTGGTGAACTGTTAAATCCTTTTAAATTGACATGGAAATAAACATAACTCCTTTATTAACAAATAAATTCCTTTTAAAACCATGTTGACCGTGGCAGCCAATGGTTTAAGTAGAAAATTAAGACACCAAAATTCCCACCTCATTATGCATTTTCGAGGGTGGAAGAAAAGTAAGAGGATTCAATTCATGATGTGTGGTAGCAATGCATCAAGTTTCCAGTAATGTAAGAAGGCTCATCTTCTCTGGACAGTTTCTCCTTCCCTGCTCCTGACTCCACATCATTCAAAATTTTAACACAGGCTGAATCATTTTAAATGTACATCTCTTGCCATTAATCTATCCTGTTTTGATTGTTCAGGAGTACAGGTTTTGAGGGAGAGAAACAGAAACCAGGAAACACCTAAGAAGCATTTATTTTTTATGCAACAAAAATTTAAATATGATCATGTGTACATCAAAATGTACACAATAACTACAATGAACAATGTCTGGAATCACAACATTGATGCAATTGTAACGAATTTCACTAAAATAAACAAAGATGAGCGTGAACTGGGAGACAAACGGGTGAAAAATAGATTTAAAAAAATTCAAACGTATCAATAAAAACCACTCAGTTAAATGCTTTAACAATCTGAACTTTTTGAACTGTCTTCACAAGCTGCCAAAATCCAATTTTTTCTAAAACACTTCATTTTTTACATCATTGGTTACAGAGCCTGGTAACTTGAACATCTCATCATAAAACTGGTCTTTCAAAAGTACCTCAATTTACTTCAAGATTTGATACAAAAATCTGAAACTCAAACGTTTCCATTTACCTTTCAGAGCAATATACTTTTATAAGAAAGTAGAACATAAAAGGCCTCTGATAAAATTTCATAAATTAAAACTACTAAAAGCAGGATATAAAAGGTAATGTTAGGATGGAGGATTTTTAAAAAAACATCCTGTTCTAATTTTTACTCTTTTCAATATTCAACATTAAAAGCTGGAATTCAAGAATAACCCATTGAACATCTACATAAGGGTCCTCAGAACCCCAGATTCAAATACTAGCTTAACAAACATTTGCACTTTGCTACAAAGGTTCAGCTTCACTAGTTCTCAGCTGGGTTGTCAGATCATAGAGTTTTGTAGTAAGCTCAACCGTGCAGGGAAAGGGTAGACACAAATACAAACAGTCCTATCCCACCCTAGAAAGTGAGTTGCCTATTGGCCACTGGCAAATGTGGAGAAATCCATATTTTCAGATCATCCTCACTCTCCTGGGGAAAGGAAGGGAAGCAGAAAAAAAAAGGATACATTGGGAGGGGGCGAAAGAAACACAAAAGGCAGCAATTCCAATACCATTTCCATCATGAGACTTCAGTCTGTATTCACAAAAGACCCACATTTCCCTGTGCAAGTTCCATTAACTGTGAATATATATTACACAAAAATATGATGTTTTTGTAAACACAGACTCTGGCTAGCCTATGCACAACTTGCTGCGATTTTTTATTGAGAAGGATAAACAAAATGGACTCAGTGCAAAAATTTCAAAGAACAGTGTCAAAAATATCCCCAACTTTTAACGGCAGACTTTAGTAATACACCTTTTTTTGTAAGTCTTTAGTACATTTATGGCAGTAGATTCAAATATTATAAGCATATATCGAACTGCTCTTTTAAGCCATTGTTTTATTCTTCCACACTCACCAAAATCAGATTCTGTTCAATATGGGACTATTTTAAATAAGACAAACGCTTCTGCCTGAAAAAGTTAATTGTAACACATGACGATAATGCACCACTGCCGACTTCACAAATCAGTGTAATAACTTACTTTGGAAGGTAAACTGCTGCAGTAAAATTACTGATGCATAATTAAAATGGTTAAATAAGACATCTTGTAACAAAATCCTAATCTAGTGATTATTTTTATGAGTGTCGGTAATAGTTAAGTAATCTTAACATATAAAGATGCTTCATAAAAATAATCCCAGGGAATTACAATGCTGCCCCTCCAACATTGCAAAGTTAAATGTTCAGTTAAATTTAAATGAAGGAGTTCAATAATATCTTAACCAAAACTCTGATGCAGTATTGTCCTGATGTTTTGAGTGTGAGGAGTTGTGTAAACTAATTTAAGTTTTTGAATAGTATCTCATTCCTTTTATGTGGTACATTTCCCTCAGTGGCAAGGAATACTTCTTTTCTACAGCCTTTGTCTCCTTCCCTTTGGCATGGACTTTCTTCTTACCTACACAAAAAAAATTATGAAAAGTTGAAGAAAGCAAAACAAAAGTAACTGTCTTACTGAACAGGAACACATTATATATGTATGTATATTGTGGATTGCTTTGTGAATCTGTGTTTTCTGGGAGATCAAATGCAAAGGAGTGCTTACAAATGCATGCAAGTAACAACTTGCATTTATATTTTTAATATCCAAGAACATACCAACGTGTTCCACAGAGGAGAACATATGCAGATGCTTTAGGAGGTGACAAAGTTTGATTTTGAAACTTTTGAGTTTAGGGATTGGTTTGGAGAAATCTTTTAAAGATGGGTCCACAGCAAGAAGGGTTTAAAGAGGGAGTTTCAGAGGTCATGGGTTAGATAGCAGATGGCTCTGCCGCTAAAGGTAAAAGTTGGTGTTAGGGACAACACAGAGGGCCAGAGTTAGAAAAGAGAGGGAACAGAAGGAATGTAAAGCAGCAAAAGGTACAGTGAGGGTGTGGAAAGATGTAAGGATGATGATGAGGAATTTAAATTCAATGATAGATTAGTGGGCATCAGTCTAAATGATAGAGCTTTGGCAGACTTAGAGTTTGTCAAAGAGATTAGCAGGAGCAGTCTATTCTAGAAATACTCAGTTTCAGCAGAAATAAAGGTAAGATGGGATGGCAAGAGGAAATGTCGATTTAAAAGGCTGTTTTGATAGGAGGGTTTGAAGCTCAACTTTGATAAGGTAGTTTAATTTAGAGTAGTAAGTTATTTTTTACCCCCTCCTCTAAGAGTCTCAGAACTATAGATTTTTTGGTCACATATTGAGTGAATTTGATTCCTATGGTAAAGAATGTCAACAGTGGAAAATGGGAGACTTAGCACGATCTTACTTCGTGTCAGCATCAAATGTTAGTATAAAGCATTGTACATAAGCTGCAACGCAAGTACTCCATGTTAGCTACAATATTGAACCCTTAAGGCCAAAGGAAATCTGTAATCTGTTAGTCTGTGCGTATTTGAACCAAAGCTCCCAAAGGAAAAGCTCAGCAGAGACCTCATTATGTGTCACAATCAATAGTGAAGTAGTCCTCGCTGGGGAAACAACCCTAGATTAAAAAAGAATCTCCAAATCATAGAATATATATGCTTTTATTTGATTCCACAAGAGGGAAAGATAAAATTCATAAATTTATTCTCTTGATAGTTTTACCTTTAGTCTTCCAATGGAGGAAATTACTGAATAAACTGAAGAGGCAGGACAAAGGATATGCTTGATAGATTTTGTGAATTTGGTTCAAATGTACTTGGATGACAACATATTTTCCTGCTGACATTATTATGATCAAGATGTCAGTTTACAAAACTAAACATTGAGCATTCAAAAGGAGAGGCAATAATTGCATACATGGGGACAATTTTTGAGAAAATGACGGCTGTTCTTGAATTTAGAAAATAATGGAAGTTCTGTATCTTGAGAAGATTCAAAGGTGCCTTGTCATATGATATTAGGTTTCAGAGAATATCCACAGATGGTTCGATGCTCAATCTGTCAGCATCCCATACAGCTCTGTGTTTTTATCTTCATGTGAAATATTCTCAAGGGATCCAAAACAGAATTCTTAACATCTAAACCTGGATTTTCTACAGCAGCTTCACATGATTTGGTATAACACAAAAACTTTCCTTCACTTCGCAACTCAATGTGAAATACTGAACTTGTCAGCAAGCACTGAAAATCCATCAGAGGTAGACTGCCTTGGAAATCTCAAACTTCAAGACTGACTGAAAGATTATCCACCACAAAGTAAGTCGTACTCGAACAAAAAATTAAGTTATTCCAGAAATAACACATTTAAACTAAAATTAAGGAAGCAATCAACATAATAATTCATCTTTGCTTTTCCCATCTTTTCTTGGAAAAAAAGGCTGATTGTGCTTTGTTGAGTATTCCAATGATGCTTTTGAGACTCAATGTGAGGGGAGTCCCAAGGATTTTTTCACCACTTTATGTCAATATAAATTTGAAGTTTACGGTATCTAGTTCTCTCCAGGCACACCAACTGGAAGATCAAAGACCATACTTCCAATACTGAAATAAAGCAGAAAATTCTGGAAAACTTAGCAGGTTTTGGAACATCCATGAACAGGGAAAATAGTTACAGGTTTAAGTCAAACACCTTTCATTAGCACAGATGGTAGATCATTGGCCTGAAAAGTTAACTTTGTTTCTCTGCTGCCTGACCTGCTAAGAATTTCCAGCATTTTTTTTTTAAAACTGTTACTTCAGATTTCCAACATCTATACCACTTTACTTGTCTTCCAATCCTGAACTTCTCTTCAAGCACACAGAACAGTGCAACGCAGGATCAGGCCCTTTGGCCCACCATGTCTGTGCCGACCATGTCATTCCAAACTAATGACATCTGCCTGCATATGGTCCATATTCCTCTATTCCCTGCCGGTTCACGTGTCTAAGTGCTTTTTAAACATTGCAATCATCTCTGCTTCTATAACCTCCCCTGGCAGTGTGTTCCAGGCACTTACCACTCTGTGTAAAAAAAAAACTTGCCTTGCACATCTCCTTTAAATTTTCCCCTCTCATCTTAAACTTACATCCCCTAGTATTTGACATTTCTACCCTGTGAAAAAGACTCTGACTATCCACCCTATCCATGCCTCTCATAATTAAATATAATTCTCAGTTCACTCCTCAGACTCTGATGCTCCAGCGAAAAAATTTCCAAGTTTGTCCAGCCTCCTTACAGCTAATACATTCCAATTCAGGCAACATTTTAGTACATTGTCTTTTGCACCTGCTCCAAAGCACCCATATCCTTCCTGTCATGTGGAGACCAGACTACACACAATACTCCAAATGTGGCCCAACTAAAGTTTTAATTAGCTGCAACATGACTTCCCAACTTTTATACTCAATGCCCCAACTGATGAAAGCAAGCATGCCATACGCCTTCTTTGTCGCCTTAGTCACTTGTACGCCACTTTCAGGGAGGTATGGACTTGCATCTCAAGATACCCCTGTTTTTCAATGCTCCTAAGGATCCATCCCTTTTCTGTATACTTTCCTCTTGCATTTGACCTCCCAAAAGGCATCACCTCACTTGTCCAGATTAAACTCCATCTGACATTCCTCTGCCCAACTTTTCCAACTGGTCTATATCCTACTGTATCCATTGATAATGTTCCTCACTCTCCACAACTCCTCCAATTTTTGTGTCAGCTGCAAACTTACTAATCGGACTACTTGCATTTTCATCCAAATCATTTATACATAATTCAAACAACAGAGATCCCTGCACTGATCCTTTCAGAGCACCACTGGTCACAGACTTCCAGTCAGAAAAACATCCCTCCACAACTACCCTCAGTCTTCTATGACCAAGCCAATTTCGTATCCAACTTGCCTATGCATCACAGATGGCACACAGTAAAAGATATTTTAAAAAAAAATGAAATCAAATTTCTCAGTTTCTTGCAACAGATCTGCACAGTTTGAATTATTTTAACTTGCGTTATGGCTACGGATGGGTTATTGATAGAATCTCTAGACAGTAAAACTTCCACCCTCATTAATTATGAGTTTGTTAACAAAACTGATTTTGGTTGCATTGAATCTTAGCTATTTCACAGACTTAAGACACTTATTCCAGGCCTGGAGTTCTGCAAGTGAGCTTATTTTCAATAGCGTACTGAACCTAAAACAGTTCCTTTGGGGTCTTCTACCTAACCCTTGTTAGGCTACTCTTAATATTTTTGGGTTGTCTCTTTCAATAAGATTTTACAATTGGTCAATTAATACTACTGCACCTTAAGGAAGCCTCTCTCTGCTAGCTTTGTGTTATCAACCTCATTCTGGCTGCTTTCACAGGATTTAAACAAATCCAGTTCCTCAGCTGAACTTTCTGGAGTAGACTCTAGATCCATCACTGAATATCCATCACTGTCCAAAACCTGGATTCTGAAAAATAAATAGGGCTCGAAGTCAGTAGCAGGAAATTCTACTTCATTCCCTTAAACTGACGTGTTGTATTTATTTAGTTGTTAACTAGATAAAGCTGGCAAAGAGAGGACAAAAGTAAATTATGAATTTAAAAAAAAAAAAAAAATCAGACAGAAAAAAACAAACATATCTGTCAAAAGTTCCCTTCCCAAGAAAAACTACCTTTGTAGATCCATTTGTCTCTGTGCTGATGCTCGCTTGACATTTGTTTCTTGCTGTTTTGGTACTTTAACATTTGTTGTTTCTGGTTCTGCAGGGCCCTCCTGACTGGCTGCAACTCTTTTTCTGCCTCTTCCTGCAGCTTTGTTTGGATCTGAGTTCTTTGCAGTATTACTTTCAGATACAGCTTTGGGAGGACGACCTCGCCTGGCTTTGGGTGGAACCGGTGCTGTTGACTCTTCAGATTTTCTCTCTTCTGGTATCTGCTGAATATTCTCTGAACCAGCTGGTGCTGTCCTTTTTTTCCCACGTTCTGTGCTGGTCTGTGGTGGTAAAGACTGTTCAGAGGACATCTCCTATTATAAGGAGGACAGAACGTACACAGAGCAATGCATAATACTGCAGTAGATAATTCCATAAGCTATTGCTCATGATTTTATTTTGAAGAAGTTTTGTTTCAGGTTATAAAACCCATTAATTTAAAATAACACTTGGATGGTAAAATGCAATGTGTCAGCTGTGCATATTTAAAGGAAATCTTACCATAAGGCACAAAAGTGTTAATGCACAGCTCGTTCCTAAGATTTTAAAATAGGGTTGATGAAAGGATGAACTGTTTTCAATCTTATTAGCCCAGAGTCTCATATTTTGCAATTACATAAAGTACATTGATGTGATTTATTCGGAGGATCTGCAACCATTACACTTTATCTGAGAAGGGGTGCAAGGATATGTAAGACTTCTAACTATAGGCCTGCTAGTTTAACATCAATAGCGTGATTTTGGTGGTTGAGATTTTACAAACAATAATCCGAGAGGAAAAAGTCAAGAAAGACCTGGAAAGTGTGAACTAATTAAAGATAGGTAACACAGATTTGGAATAGGCATATCATGCCTGACTAATGTAAGTGAAGTTTTTTTTTGTGAAGTGACAAAGAAGGCTGAGAATGGAAAGCAACGGCTGTTGGCTACAGGGACAAAAGTATATTGACAAATAAAAAGCTGGTTAACAGAATTGAGGCTGCTGGAATTGTAGTCAGCTTGTATGAAAACTGGTTTAAGCACAGAAAACAGCACGTTTTGCAGACTTGAGGACAGCGACAGAGATGTACTCCAAAGTTCAGTCTTAGGACAATTGTTTCTTTGGTGCATATAAGATGATATAGATTCTGGAATACAGAATAAAATTTCAAAATTTTCCTACAATACCAAACTTGGGTGTCTGGCAAACAGAGGATGATACAGAGAAGTGTGAGGTGTTGTATTTTGATAGAAGAAACAAGGAGATGCAATACACCATTAATAGTACAGTTCTAAAGAACAGTCAGGGGCAAAGATACCTGGAGACTCACGTATATTAATCTGTGAAAATACTGAGTATTGTAAAGAAAGCATTTGGGATTGTGTTTTATAAATGTAAGTATCGAGTACAAAAGGAGGGGAGTTATGAGGAACCTTTACAAAAGTCTGATTAGAACACAAGTGGAGTATTGCATTCAGTTTTGGTCATTACATTTTAGGAAGAATGTGAAGATCCATAAGAGGGTGCACAGGTGGTTTAGCAAAAAGGATTCTACGGAATTTTAGCTACAAGATAAGATTTGAGAAGCTGGGTTGGTTCCCTATGGAGCATGAGAAGAAATTTGAAAAAGTATGCAAGATAGGAAAAGTAGATAAAGAACTGCAATTTGAGGAGCAGGGAGCACAAATTTAAGGTTTTGGGCAAGAGATGCAGGACACCTATGTGGAAGCAGCTTTATTTTTTATATATGCAAGCATCAAATACCTGTAGATTGCTGCCTATGAAGGTGATGGGAGCAAATGATAAAATAACAGATGATTTCAATCAAAAAGAAACTCAATAGGCAGTTGAGGGAAATAAACTTGCAACACTATTGCGACAGAGTAGTAGAATGGGGCTGACTGGATTCCTTTACGAAGAGTAACATGGCGTTGACAGACTGGATAGCTGTCTTCGGTGTCATAATGGCTCTACCACAATGAGTCATTCTCAAGATCATGAGCTGAAATTACCACCATACATTCTCCTTCTTGTGAATTTTTGCACATTAGAAATGAAAACCGGCCATAAATGTTCAGTGTTGCCTTCCGAAAGGAAGTCTGAAGCATATGGATTGACATGGGGGCAGATAGAGAAATGTGCATTTTGTATCAAATTTATTTCCCATCCTCCCTTCTAGGGTCAGGACAAAAGACTGCTATCGTGACTTTTAAGGTTCCAAGATCCAAATAGACTAGGCGTACTGCACCTTGTTTCTAACTGGCTCATCCTTCTTCTCCGTTTTAGCTGGTACAACTGTGAGTAATATTACTGGATTTTCCTCATTCTCACTAATTTCTGTTTCTGGAACTTCTGAATTCTGCTCCCTGCAATGAAGTAAATAAAGATATAAATGATCTTTCCAAAATCAGAAGCAGCATATTAGATTCCGTTAATTCAAATAGTCAAACAGTTAATTCAAATTCAAATGTCACTATAATCGTACTTTCAACTGGAATTAGGATGTCAAAATATTGTTTAAAATTGATTTAACTGGCAGTGCAGCTGTTTCAAATCATAGGTCAAACAAATAAGTTAACAAAAAAAGCCTCAAGACATCAGAATAATGTACAGACAACAGGATTTATGTACATGATTTGAATGAAACTGGGTTTAACTGCATGCAAATATTAGAACAGCAGGAACAGCGTCTCAGCTACTAACATAATATTCAGAGGGGGAATAGAAAGAACACCCAGATTTTAGACTGATCGTACAAAAATATCCCAACTATGAATTCAGGTATTCTAATTGATCAGCTTCTCAAAACAATTTGTTTTTCTATAAGCATTATTCATATTTCAAAAATGATCTAAAGGTGGATTTATTTTATCCATTGCAGATTTTTGCACCATTTAGTAGGATTTTACAGTATTATCTCCAATTATTTCTTATGCTATCATATTTAAGCTAAACAAAATACTATTATTCAACATTATTGTTCTACTACAGTAGAATTTTATGATGCATATTACCTATAACACCGACAGGCTACACTAATTATTTTGTAAAAGTGAAGACTCCATGGCAGTTTGAATGTCTTTTTTTGTAGAAAGCTGACAAATTTAATTTTCAATTTAGTAAAAAGTGGCAGAGGTTTGAATGTATGCAACAACAGAAGATTATATAAGGTTCAAACATACTAGAAAAGTGATTTGAATTGTGTATATGCAAGGCAGTATACGATGTAAAGGGCAATTAACACTGTGTAAAATCAACTAAGTAAAATATTAAGGATTTTCCTTACGTTTATATGACGCGCATGTGCTAGATACTGTCTTCAGGTCAAATGGAGAATTTCATATTGGTCTCTCCATTTATACAGCAATAAGCAAGCTTCACAAAGCAGTGATGCTCAATGTAAAAACATGCAGAATTGAGATCTACAGCAAACAGCTGGTTTTCCAGACAAACTCTCTCTCTATATGGTACATCTCTCCATTGGCAGAATTGCAAAATTAATGGCTTTTTACTTAAATACACATAGTATTCAGAATAAAATAACTGAATTAACAGCACAAATATAAGTTAATGAGAATGACCTTATAGCTGTTACGGAGATATGGTCACAAGGAGATCAAAGCTAGGAACTAAATATTCGGTGGTATTTGACTTTTGAAAGGACAAGCAGGAAGGGAAGGGATGGGTAGTGAGGTAACTTTAATAGTGCTAATATGATAGCAGGAAATGATCTAGGATCAAATGGTGTAGAATATATATGGGTGGAGACAATGTATAACAAGGGGAAGATGACCCTGGTCAGCATAGTTTATAGGCTCCCTAATAGTAACTGTTCTGTAGGACAGAATAAATCAGAAGGAAGTGAATATACCACAGTGAGATTTGCAGAGAATACAAAAGTAGATGGGAAGGAAAGTGATGAGAACAAACTACAGCGTGATATAGACAGGTTAAGCGAGTGGGCAAAAAGTTGGCAGATGGAACGTGCGGAGAAATGGGAGGTTATGCACTTTGGCAAGAAGCATAAAAGAGCTGAACATTATTTAAATAGGGAAAGACAGCAAGATGCAGCACAGAGGGATCCAGAGGTCCTCAAGCATGAATCAAAAGCTAACATCCAAGTTGAGCAGGAAATTGGGAAGGCAAATGGACTGCTGGCCTTTATTTCAAAAGGAATAGCAAGTCCTGCTAAACTGTACAAAGCATTTGTCAGACCACAGCTGGAATATTATGAACAATTTTGTTCCCTTACCTAAAGACAGACATAGTGGCAATGGAGGCAGTCCACAAAAGGTTCACTAGGTTATCCCAAGTATGGAGAAATTTTCTTTGAGGACTAGTTGAGTAGTTTGGTCTTATTCGCATTGTGGTTTAGGAGAGTGATAAAAAACCTAATTGAAACACAAGATTCTTAGGGACCTTGACCAAGTAGATATATAGAGAGTGTTTTACTCTGTGGGACAGTCTAGGACCAGAGGGCATAATCTCAAAATAAGGGGTCACATGTTTAAAGATGAGGAGGAATTTCTTCTCTCACAGAAGTGTGTGGAAATCTTTACCACAGAGGGCTGTCAAGTCTGTGGGTTGTTAAGTATATTCAAGGCTGGGATAGACAGATTTTTAATTAGTAAGGGGATCAAGAGTTATGAGGATTATAAAATCAGTCAATAGTTCACTGAATGGCCAAGCATAAGTTTTAAAAATATTCATCGTGAGATGCAGGCGTCGCTGACTGGATTAGCAATTTTTTCCACTTGTGGGACTTGGGTTTTGCTGACTTAGCGAGCACTCACTGCTTGTTCTAGTGGCCTTTGGTGGGGAGGTACACGGCTGCAATCCACATGGGTAGGTAGACACACAATGCAGTTAGGGACAAAATTCCAGGATATGACCCAGCAGGAGTGAAGGGACAGCAATGTATTTCCAAGCCAGGATGCTGAATGGCTTGGAGGGGAAACTTGCATTGGCGGTGCTCCCATGTATCTGCTGCCCTTGTCCTTCTAGATGCAAATGACCATGCATTTGGAAGGTGCTGTCTAAGGATTTTGGTGAATTTCTGCAGTGCATCTTGTAGATAGTAAACTGCTACTACTAAGCATCAGAGGTGGATACAGTGCCAATCAAGTGGGCTGCTTTGTCCTTGATGGCATCAAGCTTCAAGTGTTCTTGGAGCTGCACCCATCCAGTCAAGTGGGGACTTCTCCATTGGACTCCTGACTTGGGCCTTGGACACTTTCGGGAATTAGATGGTGAGTTACTTGCTGCAGTATTCCAAGCCTCTGACCTGCTCTTGTAATCAGTTGAGTTTGTGGTCAATAGGAACTCCCAGGCTGTTGATAGTGAGGGATTCATTGATAGCAACACCAATAGTATCAAGGGGCGGCGGTTAGACTGTCTCTTATTAGAGATGGTCATTGGCTGCTATTTGTGTGGCGCAAATGCTACTTGCTGCTTCTCAGCACAAGTCCTGATATTGTTCCGGTCTTGTTGCATTTCAACGTGGACTGCTTCAATATCTGAAGGAGTCGTGATTGCACAATTTTCAGCACCAATCAGCAAACATCCTCACTTCTAACCATATGATGGAGGAAAGGTCATTGATGGTTGGGCCAAGACTTGATGGGCCCGAGTGCCTACTTTGCTCTTACATCTCGTGGTCATAAATGCATGAGCATGAACATTTGCTGAGAGTCCAGGAAAACACCTACATAATTTAAAAATTCTTTCTTTAACTTGCATTTCAAAATGATAAGTATTCAATATGGCTTTGAAGCTTCCTTAGATAAGAATCCTTAATTTTAAGTCTTGTCCCCTTATACTGGATAATTCCATCACAGAAAGTAGTTTCTTCCCATCTCTCTCAACCAATTATCTTGTCACCTTAAACAACTCAGTTAGATTACACCGTAATTTTCCATGTTCCAGGGAATACAAGCCTCATCAATTCAACCTGCCCTCATAATAAATGTGACATCATTTTCATGAATTTAGGTCCACTGACACCAAGGCTCATGCTGTGTCATCCATAACTGAACACAGTACTTAGAGTAGGCTAAATGCCACCTTTGGCCTTCATTCCTGGTCTCCAAGCCTCTTGCAATAAACAAGTCATGCTGTAACTGTGATAACAAGGTGTAGAGCTGGATGAACACAGCAGGCCAAGCAGCAGAGGAGCAGGAAAGCTGACATTTTGGGTCTGGGGCTTTGCTGAGACCCAATTTCGAATACTGTGTCAATGTTTGCCTCCATATTGAAAAAAAGATATACTTCCATTGGAGGCAGATCAGAGAAGGTACATAAATTGTCTCTATAGTGAGGGCATTGTCCTATGGAAGGCTGTATAAAATGTGCCTATATTCACTAGAGTTTAGAGGAATGAGATACTGCTTAATTGAAACATAGAAGCTTCTGAAGAAGCGTGATTAGGTAGATAGTGGGAGATTGTTTTCAACGGCTGGGGAATTTTAAATTCACTCATGGGATGTGAGCAGCCCTGGCTAGCCAGCATTTATCGCCCTGGAGTCACATGTAGGTCAGACCAGGTACGGACAATAGATTTCCTTCCCTAAAGGACAACAGTAAACCAGATGGGTTTTTCTGACAATCAACAATGGTTTCATGGTCATCATTAGACTCTTAAATTCCAGATGCTCTATTAAATTCAAATTCCACCATCTGCCGTGGCACGATTTGAATCCGAATCCCCAGAACATTAGCCAAGTTTCTAGATTAAATAGTCTTAGCAATAATAGCACCAAGCCGTTGGCTTCCCGGTCTAAAATATGAAATATGGGACCACAGTTTCAGGATAAGCAAGGGGTGATTATTACTCCATTGAAAGGGTTGTGAATCTTCGGAATTTCCAGAGAACAGCAGACGCTCTATCACTGACTACATTTAAGGCTGAAATAGAGGGATATCTGACGTTTCGAGGATATGGTAAATGGGCAGCAAAGTGGCAACGAAGTCCAAGATCAGCCATAATCAGTCCTGCTCCCAGTTCTTATCTTCAGATACTTTATGAACAGCATTTCTTTCAGCGATAGATCAAAACAGGGATGTTTGCTGAGGATTGCAGAATATTCAGCACCATTTGTCATTCCTTAGATACTGAAGCAGCCCGTGTTGATTTTCAGCGAAATTTGCACAAAATCCAGGCGCTAACAAGTCAGAGGCTTGTAATCATCCAGCAAATAACTCAGTACGTAGCTCCCAAAATCTATGCTCCACCTACATGGCACAACTCAAGATGGACATTCTCAGTTTGCCTGCAAAATGCAGGTCCAACAACGTTCAAGGAGCTCATCCAAGACAAAACAGCCTCCTTGATTGGCAAAGCTACTCAGCACCAGTGTCCGTTGGCATCATTGTATACCATTTACATGATGCACTGCAACAACTCACCAAGGTTCATTTGACAGCATCTTCCAAACAGGTGACCTGTACCACCTGGAAGGGCTACAGCAAAAGATGCAAGGACATATCATCATCTGCAAGTTCCCCTGCAAAAATGTACCATCTTGACTTGGAAACCATGGAATCTTGTATCTGAAGCTGTACCTAGGCACCTTTGTACTTAAACTTTTCATTGCACTCACTGGAGTACGTGTGACAATAAACTAATTTCAATTCAGTTCAAATATATCATTTTTCTTCATAGAGTTAAAAACCTGGAAGACACTTAACAGCAGTGAGTATGTACTTACACTGTATGAACTGCAGCGGTTCAGAAAGACAGCTCACCATCCTGTTTTCACAGATAATTACGGATGGCCATATTGGCTTTTACAATGATACTCACATCACATTAGATAATAAACTAGCCAATTTATTTAGCTATTAGCTAATAAACTACCTTTACTGCTCTTTACATCTTTCCAAGTCTATACAATTTTGATCATTTCCAATAAGAATGTCAAAGGTCCAGTAACTTAACACCCAATCGACTCTTCTGACATGCACATTGGAGTAATGTCTTACCTTCCCCTATTTGGGGGTGGCGAACTGGGTTCGGAATTTCCACTTATATTACTTCCCATCTCTAACCCTGGAGTTCTGTCTTGTGGTCTTCTTCCAGCAGCTGACAAAGGTTTATTTACTGCACCCAGTACAGTGGCTGGTTTGGGCTGAGAACAATAGTGTTAAAATATATGCGTCAATCACCACAAAAATTAATCTCCTTTCAAATGAACCAACCCATTTTATACATTTTGCAGAAACAAGTAGTTATTGTGTTTTGGAATTCTACAAGTCAATATGCCACAAACTGAACTATTTCCTGGAAAAAAATTAAATGCAGTATTCTTCAGCTGGTATTTTCCCAAAAAACACTAAAATTAATATTTAATAAACGGTCTACTGCAACGCTGCTCAAAATGCATGATGTAACAGATCACTTACATGCTGCGAAATGGGTACATAAGAACATAAGAACTAGGAGCAGGAGTAGGCTGTCTGGCCCTTCGAGCTTGCTCCGCCATTCAATAAGATCATGGCTGATCCTTTCGTGGACTCAGATCCACTTACCCGCGTTCTTACCGTATCCCTTAATTCCTTTATTGTTAAAAAAAAATCTACCTTTTTTTTAAAAAGCCTTTACTGGAGTAGCATCAACGACTTCACTGGGTAAGGAATTCCACAGATTAACAACCCTCTGGGTGAAGAAATTCCTTCTCAGTTCAGTCCTAAATCTGCTCCCTCTAATCTTGAGGCTATGCCCTCTTGTCCTAGCTTCACCTGCCAGTGGAAACATCCTCTCTACTTCTATCTTATCTATTCCCTTCATAATTTTATATGTTTCTATAAGATCCCCCCTCAATCTTCTGAATTCCAATGAATATCCCAATCTACTAAGTCTGTCCCCATAAGCCAACCCCCTCAACTCTGGAATCAACCTAGTGAACTTCCTTTGCACCCCCTCCAGTGCCAGTACATCCAGTAATCGAAGTACAGTTCATGTGACAACCTGCACTGCGATGGATCAAGGTTTGATAAAATCTGTCATATTTTGGCAGTACAGAATTGTATTTCAGAGCACTGGGTAATGATTTTGTGACTAATGACAGCAACAATTTTTATGATCTAACCACAGTTTATGGTGAAAAACAAGATCATTATATTGACTCTTAACAGATGAACATACTACCACAATGTTGTTTTTAGAAGTATACATTACAGTTGTTTTACTTGAAGCTTTTTTTCAAAAAACTAAAATTATACCCAAAGGATCACAGTAAGCCAAGCATCAAGTAAAAACAAAGATCTTGCATATAGATCTACATAAACTTCTTGTACTGTAACCCATCAGTTAATTTTATCATGAACGATATTACAGTGCAATAGTTCAAAATTACACTGCACGCTTAACAAAATCTTGAATTCCAGGAAATTTATTATGGTTTCAAACATTAGCGACAATATACACCTGAATAATGGAAATCATATTCTCAATTGAATCAAGCTTTGCTTATTTGAACATCTCAACAGCATTGGTCTCATCTCAGCCTTGATATCGATTATTCTATTTGTAAAATTAAACCTTAAACTCATTGTAAGCTGATATAAAAAGTTGGAATGAAAATGTCACATCTTCAACAGTTTTTACGATTAATAGGCTAAAACTCCTGTTAATTACCACTTAAGTACATTTGCCAAAAGTTAAAATCAACTTCATTTCATAAGCCATTATAAAATTCAGCCTAGTTTCAAAATACAGCAACTGTAAGGATAAATTCCTACCATTAAGTTGGACAGGAGGGAAAGGTGAATGTAGTGAATTGGGGAAAGACAAGCATAGAGGGGCAGGAAAAGGACAGGGAGTCTAACAGTAGTAGTAACTCCATGCTACGAAAAGTGGAAAAATAATAAAATTAATGAAAGCACACCACCATTTATAGTAACAACTGTAACTAGTGACACAAATGGATAGAAATCGTTTAACTGTGTCATTACTTTGACGCAGTTACAAGGTCAGATTCTTTCTTGGGAATTGGGCATCACTGAAAAGACCATTATTTTTGCAAATCCTTAACTTCCTTTGAACTGAGTAGCTTGCTAGGACTTTTCAGAGGGCTGTCAACCACATTGCTGTCGATCTGGTGTAATATCTGGCCAGACCGGGTAAGGCCGGCATCATTTCTTTCCCTAAAGTACATTAGAGAAACAAACGGTTTCATGGTCATCATTACTGAGACTAGCATGTTTATTAATTGAATTTCAAGCCACAAGATGAGATGTGAACTGATATCCACAAAGCATGAGCCCAAGACCTCTGATTTACTAGTCTAAGGAGATTACTGCCAAACCACCATCTCCCTCAACAGAGTACACATCTCAAGAAAAGGAGGAGCTACCCTGATACTAAATGAAAGCAAATGGAAAAAAGAACTAACAGATTCTGACCCATCATTAGAATCAGTACTGATAGAAATATGGGACTGGATATCACAATTACAGAGACATGGCTCGAGGGATGGACGGGACTGACAGCTTAATGTTCCAGGGTACAGATGCTATAGGAAGGATTACAAAGAGGGCAAGAGAGGAGGACGAGTGGAGTTTTTGATTAGGGCTAATATTATGGCTGTATATAGGACGAATATTCTTGGGAATGCATCCAGGGAAGTTATTTGGGTGGAACTGAGAAAATAAAGAGATGATCACCAGATTGGGATTGTACTATAGACTCCAGAATAGTCAGTGGGAAACTGAGAAATAAATTTGTAAGGAGATTTCAGTTATCTGTAAGAATAATACAGTGGTTCTCTGAGGGGATTTTAATTTTCCAAACATAGACTGGGACTGCCAGTATGAAGAGCTTGGCTGGAAAGGAATTTGTTAAGTGTCTGCAAGAAAATTTTCTGATTCAGTATGTGGATGTATCTACTAGAGAAGATGCAAAATGTGACCTACTGTTGGGAAATAAGGCAGGGCAGGTGACTGAGGTATCAGTGGGGGAGCACTTTGGGCCAATGACCATATTTCTATTAGTTTTAAAATAGTGATGGAAAAGGATAGACTTGATCTAAAAGTTAAAGTTTAAATTGGATCAAGGCCAATTTTGATGGCATCAGGAAAGAACCTTCAAAAGTTGATTGGGGGCAGATGTTCGCAGGTAAAGGGACAGCTGGAAAACGGAAAGCCTTCAAAAATGAGATAACGAGAGTTCAGAGGCAGTTATGTTCCTGTTAGGGTGAAGGGCAAGGCTGGTAGGTGTAGGGAATGCTGGATGACTAGAAAAATTGAGGTTTTGATCAAGAAAAAAAAAGGAAGCATATGTCAAGTTTAGACAGCAGAAATTGATTGAGTCGAGGAGTATAAAGGCAATAGGAATAAACTTAAGAGGGAAATCAGGGAGGCAAAAACGGCACAGGAGATAGCCTTGGCAAATAGAGCTAAGGAGAATCCAAAGGGATTCTACAAATACATGAAGGACAAAAGGGTAATTAGAGAGAGAAGAGGGCTCCTTAAAGATCAGCAAGGCTGCCTATGAGTGGAACTGGAGGAGATACTAAATGAATATTCTGCATCAATGTTTACTGTGGAGAAGGATATGGAAGACAGAGGAGGTGGGGAAATAAATAAGGACATCTTGAAAAATGTCCATATTACACAGGAGGTGGTGCTCAATGTCTTAAAAATGGGAGTATCCAAAAACCCTGTGGGAAGCTAGGGAAGTGATTGCTGGGCTCCTTGCTGAGATATTTGTATCATGGATAGCCACAGGTGAGATGCCAGAAGACTGGAGATTGGCTAATGTCAT